CTTTTTATTTTCGAGTATGCCATGTCAAAAAAAACAATATATTATATTATATATACAGAGTGATTCACCAAACATGCTCACCCTTATTTTTTCCTTTAATAATGAATTTATTCAAATYCTAATTTTTGGAATTTTAGAATATACGAAAAGACCATAAAACTTTAAGTTTTCAAATTCTCGAGATTTTTTGCTACTTAAGGAGTGTCTTGTGGCAATACAAACAACTTCTGCTTTTCAAATGAGAACCCTCTTTTTAACTATAAATTATTCAATAGTTATTTAAAAAAATATATTTTGATGTACCTAATTTAAAATTGGAATGAGYAGTTTCTTAGTTATTACATTGTTTGTACTAGGTAAGGATAATAGCCGTTAAAAATCGTTTTACAAAAGTATAAAATATACGTACCATTGGAACTAGTATTTATGTTACTTAGGTCGCTTATACAAAGTATTTAAGTTGATAGATTAGTATTAATGACTAATATTTTTAAATCCACCATAGACCATATATCTTATAAAGTTATAAACCTAAAAYCATTGACCTTTTATCCTTAGAATACAAAGTTAAACAACTTAAAAACTACTCATTAATATTTTGATTTCAATACATCAAAATTCTCAATAAAAAAATATCCTCTAAATAATTTGCAGTAAAAAATATGGTTTCTCATTTGAAAAACAAAAGTTTGTTTCGCTATRGGACACTCATGAAGTGGTAGAAAAATCACAAGAATTTGAAAATACAGTCTTAGAGATTTAAAGATTCCAAAAAACGGATTTTGAATATTCCATAACTGCATTATTAAAAAAAAAGGGTGTGAGTATGCTTGGCGAATCACCCTGTATATTATATATATATAATAAAAATATTTAAATTTTTTGCGTGCCACCTCGGGCATGCCATGGATTTGACATCCCCGATGTATGAAATGTAGATATAAAATATAATAAATTAACTGTAGTAGGTAATTATTACCTACTGGCTACTAACCTTATTATTTATAACAATATTATATAMAATTTCACAGGAAAGGTATAATCTTAAATTGTAGATTGTTATAGTAATATAGTCACTCTATCATTGTGGTTAGCAGAGTAGACAAAATTAAAATTTCTGTATTTATTCAAACGTATATTTTTCGGTTTACAGAGTTACCCAGCCTCATATAAATGCATAATRTTATAGTCAATATAGTCCATAGTTTGCAGCATAAAACAGACGTATTTGTGAACAAAAACACTGTATAGAAAACAAAATATTTAAAAAAAACTCCTTCTTACTACTTAAAAGTGATACTTTTTCAGTTTTTCTTGAAAAATAGCATCTATAYTAATAAAATTCTAAAATGTTTTTAAATAAATGTTAGAATAAAAAGGTTTTTGAGCACACCACTTACATTTCATGGAATGAAGTTGTAATTTACCCTCATGTTTATCTAATAATAATATTATAAGTTTTCATAGTTATTTCTCACTAAATATTATAATTTTTGTTCATATGCCTAATAGATTCGAAGCCAATTCCACGGCGATGATACCGTCGCTCCGAAACATATCGTTTTCGACGCATTTAATATTGCCACAAAACATCACCAATGAATACGCAATTGTTGGAAACCTGAAGATTCACGAACAATTTGAATTTATCTCACATCTGTTCCATTACCGGTCGCCAGATTTGAATTACGAATTTGCCACGTTCAGCGAGGTAAGTGTCGTATTGGCGACTCACCTAACCTAACTATGACGGACAACGATGCCRACGATGCCATTGTTGTGGCGGACAGTTTTAAACATGTACGAATGTTTTTGACGCAGGTTCTCTGGAACGAGAAAATAAATGGTTTGGTGACGTGGGCGTACAGGACGGAAAACCGCGTGTTTTTGGTTGACACGTTCAGTGGTAAGACAATGGAAAAGTTTTACGAAATACATAATGTGTTTGACGCGAGTTTCCTTAAGCACAGACACATTTCTAATTTAGTATACAAAAAACCAAACAAACCACATAATATCAAGTAAGTTAAATTAATTTTTCATAATATGTAAAAGTTATTATATTATGATAGTGACATTGATCGGTTTTTATAATTCTATGAAGTTTATTGTTGATTTGGATTCTTTTTAAACTCATAAAATTAGACACGTAAAGTAAAATTAAAATTTATAATAGTAATAATTTTGGTTAATGCGATTTTTTTTTTT